CTTTTCAAGGAATTAATTTTTGTAATCCAACATTTGGTGTTGTTCAGGACTTCATCAATGTATTCTTCTTTTGCATAAATTAAGACTAACATTTAATCAATATACTGATACTGATATACTGATACAATCTAAACAAAAGCATTAAAGACATGATTAAAGTATGTGTTTCAAACAACTTAAAAAAATGAAGGTACGTCCTTTTATTAACGACTGTGAGATTTTTAAAATTTACAATCCATTTACTTATGCATGCAGTGGATGCTGATGGGAATCATGGTGATTGTCCTTGGTGCTGTGCTCATGTTGACCGCTTTGGGAGAGTTTATTCTACCAGAATCAAATGCATCGACTCCTACCAGTATGTTAAGTAATTGATAAGTTTCTATTTTTTTAATTTTACAAATGTATTCTTAAATTGATTCTTTACATCCATAGCAGGAAAGACTGAAGTGAGCATTACGAATAAAGTTGCTCACATAGAAGCCACTAATGTTGATGAGTGGACAGCACTCATGATTTATCTGATGGTAATGGCTGGTGGTGGTACTGGTGTCGCAACAGTGGCAGTTTTTGTGGTTTGGGTAGCTTGCCACATATGCAAAAAGGTTAGCAGGATTAATTTTCCTGTCACAAATACATACTTTTTAATTTCTATATACATTTTTCTTATGCATAGTCCATTACAGCTAGTTATTTCAACATTTACTTATATGCTTGTCTTCATTTACTTTGTAATCTGTACAATACAGTGGTCAGCAATTTTGGCAGCGGCTGATTGGTTGGAGGAAAGGCAAGTCAGATGGACACAAGGAAGAGGAGGAACAGAAAATGACAAGGATCTTGTGGATATGAAGGCATACCGTGCCAGTACTTAGGATCGGCAGCATTAGGCGTACATTACTTTTGTGTGGATATAGTTCCCAGTTCCCTATTTTGTTTCATTCTATGTACGTTTTATGTTTGATTGAGAAAATTGGTTATGCTGTATTAGTACACTTTTGTTTGTGCATGTTTTTGCAGCGGGTTGATAACTGTGGCGGTTTTTATTTTATTTTATCCTTTATTTCAATGCTGTAAATAAATTATTTTGGACTTTCATAACTGTTGTCACTTTTATGTTACTTTTTACTCCAAGTACAGCATTCCAACACTTGTGGGATATTAAATATCCAACAAGTGATGGAATGTGCCTACATTGTGCATTAAATTTCTGCATTACGCATGTGCAACACAATTTTTGGGCCTTGCGCAAATTTCATCATCATTTCATACTTAGCTACATACTTAGAGACGCACGCGCTGTGTTTGGCCATTACTTTGCCGTTTACTAATTGAAGCACGCGCTGTTACGTCAAAAAAGTATAGGGTTACTTACAGACCACGACATTACGTACACATCAATAATGCGCCATTATTTTGCGGTGTGCAGGTTCTGACCGTCAGTGATGCCCTTTGTAATGGCGCTATAATTTGGAACCATGCAGGCTGCAAGTTGAGCTGTTTGGAAATAAATATTGCTATAAACCTCACCATAAACATATGCGCGCCATTAATTTGCATACATGTTTACAGATGCTTTTCATGGTGTGTGTGTGATTCTCCGTGTACAAATTTAAATGGCGTGCTCTTTTGCAGTATACCTCGTGAAACAAGTAACACGCTATATATTAAATGGCTCCTTTTTTTGGCGCAACACAATGAGAAACATTGCGTCATTGGGAGGAATGCCACTTGGTGGAAATAACCTGGAAAAGCTGTGTGAAAGCGTGAAATCAATGGCAATTACAACATGATTTGCATCAGGAATATGTGCTGCTAACACAGTGGCTTGCAGCAAATGGGTTAAATACTAAAACATACCTGGAAACATTGCTGCAAGGGTTTCCACAAGGAATTGTCTGTCATTTCCTTATAAATACCTTATTTCCTACATTTTGTCCTGTCGCCAAATTACAAGGTTCCTGCATTGCACACGCGCAGCGTGTAGAAACAGTGTATTACTCAGGGACCCCGACAACATTACTACAGTGTAAATAACCTGTTTCTGACTCATGGACCCCATTCTTGTCACCTTATTTGCATTTTTGAGGACCCCTATGTCAGAAAGAGATTTTTACACTGCTTTCAGACAAGGAAAGAAAATTAGAATTTTCCTTCCGATGGAAAAAGAAGGATCGAGGAATTTATACTGAGTATGAATCGAAACGAAAGGATAGTAAATAAAACCCAATAATCAGCCGGGCTGCGGCCGGGACCAGCGTCCTAGTTTAAATTGGTATATTTTCAGAAAGAAAGCAAGAAATCTGCTACTATCTCAGGTTTCCAATAGAGATGATAAAATAACCGCCAAAGCAAACGCAAACGCAAACGCAAACGCAAAGCAAACGCAAACGCAAATTCGTCGGACTATCGCGAGGTCTGAACTGGACTGTCTTGTTTATTGGAAATCCCTTTGCTTATATACTGTTTTTTCCGGAAAGTAATCCGTTGAATTTATTCAAGGAATATCCTTGGATCGCAAGGTCTTTTTAGCGTAACGAATTTGGAGGACGCGTTTTTCTGGGAGGAAGATCGTGGGAACTCGAGGTCATCCCTCGTCCCATGAGATTCCTTCAGGATTATCGGTCTTTTGCCGATTCCCAGCAAATCTCGTGTTTCTAAACACCCCTCATCTAAATTTTCGACAACAGCTGTTGTTACGGATGCATTACTTTTATAATTGCAAAACATAAGTTAAGCTGGATGGGATTCCAGCATAGCTTCTTGTTCAAGTGGAATCCTAGTGAGCAACCATATAATGTGGGCCTAATTTGCTCCTAAATGAGCTTCTAGAAAGAGTGAACAGGACACTTTCATACAGTCCTATTCATAAATTATATCATGTAAAAATTGAGAAAATGTTTTTGAATTCCCTGAAAATGTATTAAAAATATGTAATGCTTAAAATACTCGATGAATAAATTTATTTGGTTACTGTAAGCATTAATGTTAGAAGTGACCAGCATTCTTGGATTCCCAGTTATGATAGGAATGCCCTATACTGTGCTTGTTTGTGTGCCCCATTTAATTGTAGACAATAATCAAATTTTTGAGAAGAACTAAAAAGTATTTTTTGTTTTTTCTTCTGATACTGTACAATCTGGTCTGGGTGCAGATGTGGGGTTCTCATGATGAGTATCAAGCACAGCACAATTTACCGTGGAATGCTTGGGCAATAAAAGATTGTTCCACCGTTCAAGCAAGTTTTTCAAGCAATATTCAAGAATTTTCTACTCATGATCCAACCATGTCCATGTAAATCTCACATATCCATGCATGCAGAGGAATGCATGTTTACTATTTTTTCTTATACTTAATTGACAAATTGGAATCTTCACTATGCACCATTGACGATTAGAACACCTATTTTTCCAATCAGTTTCTTTGCATGTACAATGATTTGTGTAAGATAAATCGACAGAAGTTGGGCAATTTAAAGTACTGTATTTCCGCAAAGGGATACACGTTAATTTGATGGAAAGAATGGATTCTCTCTCTTTTATTTGCCTTTATACTTGATGAAAGAGGCTTGATAAGCTTTTCAAAACTCAATTTTGGCGATTAGTAATATACTGTAACATGGTCCACCACTTACATAAGGAATCTTCCTGTAACCCAATGGAAAGAAATTGAGTTGCAACTTTCTGTAAGCATTTTTCCATTAATTAAACCTTGTACAGCAGGTCTCATACAAATACATTTGAATCCAACAAAGGTACTGTATCTTTAACATAATTTGAAGAAAAAAATATTGCGGTTAAAAATCGAGATTCTGTCTCAGTCATATACTGTGCCTAGATGGATTCGGTACTGGAAGTGATGCGGCCTTTGTTTCCTCACATGCAAGTGAAAAAGGGCGTCAATCACTAGAAGACTCACCTTCTTCAAAAATCCCTGTGCATATGATGAAGTCACACAGGACACTGCCCCAATTCTGGCATAACTTCAGCACTGTACAGTAAAAGGGTACCCCAACATGAGAATTTAACGTAGGGACACTTGAAACTTGAAAAATTCATCCCAAAATCTAAAGTCTTGAGATACAAGCATTCCCAAAAATTTCAATAAAAATGGAAAAATTTTATTTTTGCAAATTTGGATATTGCTTTAAGAAATTAAGCTACAATTGAGCTGTATTCACTAAACTTAAAAATTAATTTTATTATAAATTTTCTCAAATTTATAATAAAAACAGGCTAATTTTGTGCTTTGTTTCTTGGAATTTTTCAATTATCTGTGCACTGTGTAACAAGACTTGTTCTTGCTCCATGCTCCTCTTGATGCCAGAAGATCAGATTTCATGTGGTTTTCTTCAGCAAAGTTATTTTCTGCACCTTTTGAGGTGGAGAAACAAAATGTAATAAATTTTGGAAGACTTATTCCTAATTTTTGATAAACTGGAGAACCAATGAAATACGTTTCCATTGAACTCTATCAGAAAACATGATCCAACATGAAAATGCTCTGACATATGGACAAGGTCTAAGCACCAATCGAGTCTGTATCTTGTGGCCCGACTGTACAATACCTAACTTGCTGTCCTGCATGCTGCAGCTTCGTTACTTGAACATGAATCCTCTTTGGCAAGGAGAAAAAGTTGCTCTTCCGTCTCCGGAATGTACCGTGAAACCGAGTCCACCTCCAGCATTAAATGTGACTAGCAGCAGCCTCTGGACTGCGACACGCCGCGTTATGTGCGGATGCCAGGTACTGTATATGGAGTCCATCATCAAGCACAAGCACGCATGTACAGTATATAGGGTCCACCTCCCCCTTACCCTATTTAGCCCGGTGCTGGCAACTGCGGTTAATTTTTGATTCCGCGCCATTGTCTCCGACCCGCGGCTTTTGCAGCCGGTGCAAGTGGGGGAAACAATGCGAGTGTTTCACCGAGTACAGAACAGTGCAGTAGGTATTATACAGTATATATCCCAAAGACACCCCCTCCACCCTCGCGCTCATCAAGCTCCCTCCGGCGGAACTGCAGCAGGGTGCCCGATCACGTTTTTCCGGACGTGCCGAACACCTGGCGGCGCACAGGACTCATCAGTGGTGCTATATAGCGGGGCGATGCACCACGCGTGGACGAGTCTGGAGCCTGTTTTCCTTCGGTTGGGGGACCACGAAATATCGCGGCACACCGCGATGAGAGGCACTTCGCCCCGGCGGAGATTGACAGGCAGGAAGTGTCGCAAGGAATTTAACGAGTTATGGCAATTCAGGATCACGTCCATTCGAAACTATATTACCGCATCGCCATTTCAATGCAAATACAAGTGTGCAATTCTGTTATGACGAATCACTCGCTGCAATACAGCAGTAACTATATTACAAAACACATCAAAAACCCCAGCAAAAACAAAGAAAAGATGCTATGAAAACCATGTTCAATAAATTTTCAAGCTTCGTTACCACAAATGGATTTTTCAGCGGTTTTTTCAATTTCTCTGTGTATGATCGGCAGACCTTTTCAATTCTGCTCTCAAGTTTTAACCCAGCTGTTGAATGGAGCCATTCTGGATCTAGAAAAATCACGGACTGTGACAAGAACTTCTGCTGGAATATTTGTTTACTTGATTTATTCCCTTTGTGTGAGACATAGTTTACTGTATTATGGTGGGAAACAATTACTGTGTTCGGCAATGTTCTGATACGGCGACCCAAAAAAATCTGATCAAACAAATTGATGTGGATTATTTCAGAAAATAATCCACATTTTTTATGGTACTCTTATTGAATGGAAAAAATGTTAATGTCCCAGAAAGTTGGTCGAAACAAGACAAGTTGGTCGAACCTTTACAAAGTTTTTCAACGGTAGCAATATTCTTCAGGATGGTTTTGCGAATACAGTATAGTATTTGTACAATGGTGCTTATTCAAACATATGCTTGCCAAACAAATTACCGCGCTGAATCCCCGAATAGTACAAAATTTGAAGAAATGCAATCGTGAAACAGACTCCACTAAAATTACAGAACTTGCTGGCACACATTCAACTGCAAGTTCCTTTTATTTTCATTTTTTGCTGAAAAAAAAAAAAAGTTTTCGTGGTTTGTTTCATGTTTCCTGCCCTCTAAATTCACCATACTTGCTTTTCAGGTAACAGCCTCAAGAAATTTGTGGAAATCGCACCATCTTTTCTATTATCTGGCTCGGTGGTAAGCTTATAACCAAAGCGTGGCATCCAAACAAAACGACATTCTGTGAAACGGAACTGTTCTCAGATTCTACACTTCCGTGAACTTCCAATACAAGATTTTTTATCAAAAATGAGAAAAAATATTCAAAAAATCAGAACACTGTACAGACATCGTGTTCTGCTCACAGCACAGCTCTTTTCCACTGAAAATATTCGGTACTGTAATTGATGTGTACAGAATATATTTTTTCATGCAATAGACGATGGCAATCTTTTGGTCCGTTTCCAGAGCTTACATGTCTCGGAATGCTGTAAAGTATGCATCAGGATCATTGGTCAACTGAAAATTCAACTCATTAATCTATGACAAGTTAGTTGTTGCCCAAGGAACGCGAAGAGACTTTTGCCGTGTTCAACTTATCCGTTAAATAAATCATGGATATTTTTCTGCATAAATATCTGATATGCACACATTGTTGTTAATCACAAAGGCCAGAATGTCAAAATACTTTTTTTTATATGTCTAAGATTTACTACAGTATTAGTGAAGTGACTACAAAAACACCTTGCATTGGTTCAACTCCCTTAAAACAAAAATGGCTCAGATTTCAGTTTCATATATAGCTGTCATCCATGCATCTCAAGTGGCACGAACCAGATGTACTGAACCTCACTTCTTGACCATCGAACTTTTTGAGAAACTGAAGTTGGCTCTGAAAACATTGTGAGATGCTCAGATACAAGTAAAGGAATCAATATGCCCCACAGTCAGAACCAAACGAAAATGTATTCCAACCTTTCTCTTTACAAAAGCCGATTCCAGTAAAGGTCGTTCACGCATGAAATCATCAAGTCGAATTGCAATGACCTCTAAGCGCTTAGAGTCTCGAAAACAGAGACCGACTATTAAAACAGGAAGCATACGAAAAAAATTAGAAGAGTAATGCTGTCATCAGTTTATTACGTCAAAATCAACTAAAATTCTCATGACGCCTTCCAGTTGGAAAAAAACAGCAGTCTTTTGTGGGAAATTTGAAAAACTAGCAACAAATCTTTGAAAAGAAATGTCACCTTAATGAAAAGTTGATTAATGAATCATGACACCCGACAGCGTGTACCAGTTGATCTTCATTCCAAGACATTGAGCGGTTTTTCTTTTCGTCTGTCTTCTAAATGCGCCTGTTGAAACATGCAGAGGAAAAAATTCGGTTTAAATAGGGAACTATGAAACTCCTGATGCCTTTTATCGAAGAAAATTGATTTAAAAATGCCGATAGCAAAATGTTTTAGGATGCGAAAAAAATACGGCTTAAATCAAAAGTCGAGGTTAAGAAACTTCTTCTGCAATTTGAGGTAAGGTACAATAGTACATTAACAAACCTCAAGAATCGCTTTGAATTCATGGCGTCCAAGAAGCATGTACGCAATCCCAAGAACAGATTTGCAGATCCCATGAAGTTTGTTTCCACCGAAAGTGAACGCATTGAGCCCCAGCTCGAGACCCATTCCAGGGTCACCCTCATCATTTGCAAACTGGACGTTCGTCACGAGTTCATCAATAGGCTCCATGGCAGCATTTCGATCTTCATCATCACACGTTACGGCCCGAGCGAACAGTTTCTTCAAGCCCCCTGAAAAAATCGACGTGATTAAAAAAATGTTTGATGCATCCGGATCCTCGGCATCAAATTATTGTTCGGTAAGAAATTACTCGTCGTTTCCGGAATCTCTCGATACCCCAGTTCCGTTTTCGCATTATACGGAACAACAAGACCTAGTCCGTGAAAAGGATCAGCAATTGATCCTCTTCTTTTCGCAGGATTCTTAGGAAAATCCGTTTTCAGAGGAATATTCCTCTTCTCCGCGTAAGTCTTCATCGCTTTCAGGAAGGAATCAATTTTCGGCTTCTTGAACGGATCTAATTCCATCGCAACTTTCGTAAGCTTCAATCTAGCAACAGATGAGAGCATATTAAGATTTTATTTTGAAAAAGAAAAAAAACCACGAACAAATCTTATTTACGAAATCGCGCCGAATATATTTGCTTCACTTCGCTTGAAAGTTCCATCTTTCAATGCGTCGTTTTCCGCGACAAAAGCAGGTTTCTGGCCAGGATCGTCTCGCCAATACCCCATGTGCCAGCCAGTCCTCTCTTCAACTAAAAATGTCTGGAAGGGAGAAAATATCAATGATAACTACATTCACGAGGAAATAACACGTATACACGACCGACTGATCAAAAGAACATTTCTAATATGAACTTCAAAAAAGTGGGGGCCCAAAATCATTATCGGGCCAAAACGTTATTGGGGCTTGGACCTTGCCCCTACGTCAAAACGTCCATATGTCAGATCATGTTTTACCATAGAATTCAATATGACTTCATCTATTCTAATCGGTTCTCAAGTTTATCTAACATTAGGAATAGGTCCCAAGGTCCAACAACTAATTTACTAAAAAAATTTTCTCAACTTCAAGCATGTAAAAAAAATAACCAAGGCACACAAAAAAACACACAGAATTGATCTCTGAAGGAGCTCAGGAAGCAAAGAAGAACAAGTCTTGCAATACTGAGCACAGATCATGGAAAAAAACTCTTGAAAAAATACAGAATAATCCTGTTTCTGATCATGAATTTCAGTAAATTATGGTGAAATTTATTTTGGATTTTTGTGAATACAAACAGGTGAATTTTTTCGAGATATCGAAATAAAATGTTTTTAAAATTCCGTTCGTTTAGAAATGTTGGAAAAGTGTCCGTATCTCGAGATATGGTCAAGATGTTCGGGCAGATGTATTGCATTTCAAGTGTCCCTAGTTGAATCGTCCGCATATCGGGGTCCCACTGTAGTCGCCGTTCGTATTTCTCGTTCAACGAACCATGACCGAAATTCGGGTAAATGAGCATGACAAGTAGGAGAAACAAACTCAAAGTACCACCTGGAATTCTGGAGGGTCGTAATAAAATCGCCAGTGCCTCAAAAGCTTTTTTCGAGAGTATGTCCCTTCAAATTTCCCCGCCATGACCTCAAACGGACCCACCAGATGAAGCCCAGCCATCTTGAAAACATCTTCGAAACATGAAACGCATAAGCGTGCTGTCCACTCGATTTTGGAATACAAAAATCGAAATCAAACCTGATCCGTGATCGGTTTCATTCAAGAAATCCCAGAACGAGCTGAAGTCATCGGTCATTTCGACTAGGAACATTTCCTTGATAGCAGTTTTCGGATCTTTGGAAACCTTGAGTTCATCTTCGTCGAGATCAGTTTCTTCAGTCTTCGGCTGTTCTTCGGGCATGCTATCCTCGACCTGCACAATGCGGAAACGGTTCTGATGATATCGAACGTCCCGCGTTAAGGAAAAATCACTTCAGGTGATCATTTACTTCCAGAACACCGGAGTCCTTCCGTGGTCGTTTCGAAAGCGGTTGGTCCTCGCCTGATGAAGAATCGCTTTCCGACCCGCTAATTTCATGTGCAGCAGGTTCAATATGGGGCTGGCGGATTCCAAAATTCATTAAAAATTAATTATTAATTCGCACGAATAATGCGGATCAGCATCTGCATCATACCATTAAAACCAGTTTTGGTTCAGCTTGAACTTTTTCCTTTTCTTCCGCTTTCGGTGCAGCTATCTTTTTTCCTTTTTCACTGGGGTGATAAAAATCTTTGAAATGCTGCTCGTTTTTCCGATAGCACAGGGAACCGAACTTGCAAGCCGGACGATGCTTATCCATATTTGTAATAAACTTCGACAAGATGAAATAGAACAGAAACGCACGAAATCTCCTTAAAACCGCTGCACAGTGAACCACGTCTTCAACACGAGCGATTCATGAAATTTAGAAGAATGGTCATTCAAAGCTCTTGAAAATGTTCTCAAAACATAAACAAAATATCAGTGACTTTGAAAGAAGAACAATTCCATGGTAATAACTTCAAAAATGGAATGATCTGAACCAATAAAATACATGAAGACTTTACTAATTCTTAGGAATATAAAATACGCTTTATTCCAAAAAAAGATCACGAATTGTCGTCAAAAGGTAAAAATTCAGTAAAAATATCCCTCTGCCGCAATACCCGAATTGGAATGCCAAGAGTTGAGCACACGATATCCCAACGAAATACGAAGTCCCGAGATACTCGGTCGAAAATCACCCGACAACGAAGAAATTCGTTAAGGAGGGTAGCCAGCTCTTCCACATCGGTAACATTAATGCTACACTTGTTGAACAAACAAGAAACCTGCGAACAAGCTAACGAAACACTGCCTGCTCCAAGTTTCATCATTATTCTCAAACCTTCTTGGTCAATAGGGTTTCCACTTGCTTCAAATGTGATGCCGGAGACACAATCAACTGATTCCATCACATTGCAAAATACCTCGTCGGTTAGTCCATTGTCACAGAAACTACACACTTGCAGAATCCTAGCCGATCGCAAAACGTTGGCAAGACCGCGACAAAAAACGTCTGCTTCATTACCAGCAGAATCAGCAATACCGTTGATTACCAGCGTGTTCAGCCTTTTTACATTCAGAGATTCAAAAAAATTATCGTTCGAGCACAGAAGGTTTCCACTAAAATCCACAAAAAACAATTCTCTTGATTTCAAAGCCTTCGCAAGAGAACGATTTGGCTCGAATGCAGAAGTGGTAAAGTCAACATCCCGACAATGAAGGTATCTGAGATTTTGGCAGTGGGAGACGAGCGTGGCAAGAAAATCGGCCCCCGCATCAAGCAAAGGGTTGAATGAGAGAATAATCTCTTCCAGCGCTTGAAAACATTTCGAGTCTGCTTGCAACTGCTGTCCAAGAACTTTCAAACCAAGAGGAGAAATGTTGTTGCAGGATGCGTCTAAAATTTTCAGCTGAAGTACACTTGCTCCTCTTGCAATGAACTCAAATGCAGAGTCTCCAAGGAGATTCCCAGAGACATTAAGAGTTGTTAAATGGCTGAAACTTTTCAACACCTCGGTCAAACAATTGACGACCCCTGGCTCCAAACACCTACGAACCAAGCCAAATTTGAAAATCGTTAACAACAACGTAAAATGGATAGAACGATCAATTTATAAGTTCTGTCAGTCTTTGACTTCCATTTGTGTAAACCATGAAGATGTGTGCAAACATTACAACAATACGTACTGTAAAATAAATTAATTTCCCGGGCCACTGTTCAAATCTTTGCTCACCAAGGTTGAAATGGAGAAAAAAAAGAAAGGAAGAAGTGGGTCCAATCACTGTTACCCTTCCAATGCACATCTTAAAAATGTGTATGAAGCCAAAATACTAATAAATTTTTTAAATTCCGTACATTACGGTTAAAAAAAAATCTTGGAGGCAATCCCACAGATCTGAAAAACGCCATTGAATGCAGAAGACATACTTTGATTTTGACAATGTGTGCGACAAGGGATGCTATGAACTCAAATGTAGAATGTGAAGATTGTCCGAAATTTTCAGTCGGTGAGCAAAAGATAAACCAAGTCAAGACTGGAAGCGAATGAAATCCGTAGCAAAAATTGCAGAAGCCTACTCAAAATCCTTGTTTGCATCGTATTGTGACAAGGCTGACTCAAAAAATTTACATGTAAACTTGATGTCAAGTGACAGAGAACCTGTGCATCATCCCTCTCATGCAACATGAAATCATAAATGGTTTTCAACTCACTGATAACTCAAATTGAGCAAACCACGGGCAACATCCTCGCCAGACACGTCAACTCCAAGCTTGACTTTGACATCAGACACCATGTCGACCTCTTTTACGACGGCAACAATCATATCTTCGGGTTTGACAAAATCGCTCAAAACTTCGTCCAATGGAAGAACAAGGTTATCGTGTCGAGCAAACCGCTCGATTACGATTTTTCTTCCGTAATTATTTTCATAAAGTTTTGCCACACGCTCGATCAAATTCCGCGATGTTTCATCAGGCAATATTTTCACTGGGACGTTCGTTTCCAGGATCTGAATCGTCACGTAGTCCTTCAATAAACATGACCTGTCCAAACAAACAAAAATGCAGATTACCCTGATTTAAGGGTTGCTCAGGAAATTCATCTCAATAAAAAAGTCAATAGATATCCACATACCTTGGCGTAAGACTTGAAGAGAACCCCGAAATAGAAATGCTGCTTGAACCGGAACTTTTCTCGGTGATATTATCTTCATATGTGACAGGACTTCCTTCTGGGACAGGCTCAGGGCTGTTCAAGCGTGGACTTACTACCCCAACAGCGATTCTCGCTTGATAACTCGCTTTTGCACTAGACTGAGGTACGACTGATAGCTGCGTACGTTTCCAAGCAGGCTGTTGCGTACTCTTACTGGGACTCCTGACTCGCTTAAGAGGAAGATTCGTTCCGTGAAGACGTCTAGAGAAAGAGACTTCATCACATTCGTGGAGACCCTGAGAAACTGCATTCCTTCGATTTTTCTTTGTGAAAAATCCAACGTCATCATCAACAATCGGACTTGATCGGTCAGGAGATCCCTGGAAGTAAACCAATACAAACTTTCATCAATTGACAGTGGCCTAGGAGTTTCGAACACGAAGGAATTTAAAAAGCCTTTGAAATACTGTATGAAGAAAAAAAAATCACGAGTAAGAATCCGTGACAGATTTTCAACTCTTGATATCCATATTTTCCCTTTCAGACTCCTCCAAATTTTGGGAAATCTCGTGGTCACAAACCCAGAATTTCAAAAACGTGAGAAAACTCATCAGGATCACCGCCTCAACAAAAGAAGAATCAGCCGAGCATCTGCTCGTGTTATTCTCACACCATTTTTGCGTGGCTCAAGAAGGAAAGTGTTCAATGAACAAGAATGAACAATTTTCGAAAAACAAAGCTCAAAAATATTCAACACGCGCAAGAGGCTTAAATCGTTTGAAAACGACTTGCTATGAATACCCGCGTAAAAAACTGAAGGAAACATAGTGAGAGAAAATGTTAATTCAACGACCATTTACGCGTACACCTCCACAGGAAACGGAAACCGGTGCAAATCGCGTCATCAACTTTGAATGCCGGGACTTAGGCTGAAATTAATGTTGCAATAACGTACTTCATGGCGTGGACCAAGAATGGAATGATCTTTAAGGAAGAATATTTCAGGAACAATGGAAACTAAAAGCCAGCATCGAGAATCGAATAGGAAATTTATTTAAAAATTCACAATTAGCTTACATTTTCAACTGTATATTTTTCTCAATTTAACCCTAAATTTTATGATTAGTTCTTCATGAATTAGAATGAGCAAAGCAACAATATGTGAAATAACATACTGTACAGTGTAAACCATTTGAATCTTCTTAAACGTAAACATTTCTATCAGATCACTTTCAACTTTCAAGGCTATTATAATGTACTGTACGGGGTTTGATCATATTTTGTGCAATTTGAACATTTCATGAGATAGGATTCTTTAAATGGCCAAAGCAATCAAAAAAATTAAGAAGAAAATGAAGTAAAACCATTTAAATTTATCGAACTATATTTTCCACTCGGACCTAAACGCAGTTCTTGAGCTTTGATCATTCCTGAAATTTTGCACATTAAAAAACTACTGCATGTTTTTTAGACGAGTTTGAAACTTTTTACTTGATTTCCGGCATTTTTTTAGATTTGAAAAAGTCACTTGTATATCGCGTCGAAAATTCCCATTACCTGAGTTGCTGAGAAAGATTTGATGCGTTGCGTTGCTTCGTCAGGACTGAGGTCAACTTCGTCTGGCTCTCGGCAACAATTTCTATCAATGCTTTCAAAATTTGGAGGTTCCGGAATTGTAGGCTTTCTACGAGGTCTGACAGGCACTTGGTTGAAACCTTTCGCTTTCATCGCGTTCGCCAGCATGTTTGGGATCTTTTTGTGCAATTCATCGTAATTGTAGATCCAGAAAATTTCCAAAGGCGTGTTGCCCGATGCATCTCGAAGGCAAGGGTCAGCTCCATGTGCTAGTAGCAACTCCACCGTTGACTCCCTTCCATCAGATGCTGCTTCCATCAGGGCAGTACCATTGTACACGCCACCACGAGCATCAACCTCAGCTTTGTTCTCCAGCAGTATTTTCACAATCTCATCATGGCCCTATTTAAAACTCTTTCGTTTCAATTCCGAACAAATCTTCTGAAAAATTCGAAATACTTCAGAAATTTACAGTACTCACCCTAACAGCAGCATCATGTAACGGAGTGTAGTTTGAATAATCTCGGGCATTCACAATTGATGGTTTCGTTGCAAGTACGCGTGCGGACAAGGCATCATTGGTAATGGCAGCTTGGTGCAAAGGAGTTTCTCCCCTGTCGTTGGTGCTAGCCTGAGGCGTTTTTCTCACCCTGGTTTCCTGACGCGGTTTATTGACAGGATATAAAGCTTCATATTTCTTAAGCATGTCTTCCAAGGATTCTAATGTCTCTGAATCAGACTCTGCTTCCCGGTTCTTCAAAGTAATGAGGCCACGTATTGATATTTTAAGCTTTCAACAACACAACTTCTCGGAACTTACTTCTTCGTCATAATCTGTTGATGAAGCAGGAATCTGTTTGATCTCATCCAAACGTTCTTCGGACTCAACTGAGAGGCCATTAAACTGAAGGAACTCCACTAACTTTTCAAGCATGACTTTCAGAATGAAGCTGTCTCCGGCTTTACGAGCGTCACCTATTGCCCTCTCATAACGCTGCCTAACAATTGACACAGCCTTCCGAGCCTTTTCTTCAGCTTCTGCCATTGAAAGAAGTGTATCCGCACGATTCTTGAATTCTTCGGGTTCATAGCACTCAAGTTCTTAAAAATAAATAAAAAATTACATTAAAATGTTTTCGCATTGAGATATTTTCGATTGCACCTTTGGTATAATAATCGATTCCTTCGTTGTAATTCCGTAGATCGCAGCAGGTCTGTGCAAGAGACTGATAAAGCGGCGCAAGGGCTTTACTTGAAGCACCTCCTTCAACAAGAAGTTTGAGAGCTTTCTGGTAGTAAATCAGTGCGATCTCAAAGGTATTCATTTCGCAACAATCATCCCCCAGCTGTTCATACACCTTTGCTCGATTGCAACCATTCATCTTCAGTTCTTTACTATTTTTACAAATCCGCTTCAACGTAGTCAAACTCTTCGCCATTTCTATCTGAAAAAAATAATAAAAGGTATCACCCGGTCGGATTCCACCCACTCAGAACTCGTGACAGACCTTTGCCGAATCGTTGAGCTTATTTGCTCGCAATGCATGAAGTGAATACTTGATGAAGTGATGTTTCGCCTCCTTACAACGCTCCAAGTTCAAATTCAATTTCGGAAGCCAGTGGCAATAGACTTCGGCTAATTCCAGTTTTGTGTCAAGAGAAGCAACTTCCTCGGCATACTTTAAGGCAGCCTCATACCTCTTTGCACGATACTCCAAGTCGACCATATTCATTAGGGCTCGAATGTGATCCGATGGTAGCATATTCGTCGCTGCAATTTTCACAGCTTCTCTGAAATACTCTTCTGCTTTTTGGAGTTCAGCTGAAATGGAACCACTACAGTAAATATTTCGAAAAGCTTTCTATTCTGCTGCTTGGCATAAGTGTCAAGATACAAGCGCTCCGGAATCGCTTAGAAATTAAGCCCAATTCTGTTTCCAGCATGGAAAGGTCGGATTCTAACGCACCATTTTTAAAACCAGCATCTGGGATAGTTCATAAAAAAGTAAGGATCTTCATCAACCGATCAGCGATGACCGGAAGGATTTCGAGACAGGAATACGACAAGAAAACTCGCCTTTAAACAAGTGGACTATCCCTAGGTTGACGTTCGCTCTACACAGCATAATGGAAGTTTCATTGCTGCTTAACGCTGCTCCTTTCTTAACGATTGTCTTCACATCATCCCTGCTTTCCATAAGAGCAACAAGGGCTTCACGTAGATCCTCATCAACGGCAAGCCGATGCTCCAAACGTTTCTCAAATATATAGGAGACACGGTCAATGTATGCTTGACCCAGCATCGTGTGTGCTCGCTGGATTTCCACAGAGTCATTCAGGTCCATAGTCATTTGAAGGTACTTCCTTTGGCATGATATATTCTCATCGTGCTTGTCCATCAAACTACCCATGAAAAACGAAACCAGATTCATCTCGTGCCATGCCATCAAACCTTCCAAAAAATCTACACCAGAAACTATACTTTTTCACATATTTTTCGTCGTAATTATTCTGAGCCACGACAGAGAAGGAATCATTGATCTAAGATCAGTTCGCGCAGCTCTCAAAATGAACTACCTTTCACATACTACAACAGTTGAACAATAAAGCGTTCCATGCTGCAAAAAAAAAAAAAAAAACCTGAATGGTAAAATCCATAAAAAGAATAAAAAATAATCCGTCAAAAAACTCAGCGTACGTAGTTAACATTCAATGATCTTAGTTTTAATGAACCCGATTCACAGAATCAATCTTTTAAGATCAGGAATTGAAGATTTACAGTTTTTGCGGCTCGAAGTTTTCATTTCGACGGCATGACACGCACGTACATTTCTTAATAGCAAAAAGAGTTAAATATTTTTTTATATGACCACATTGGATCCGAATTGGTACCCGATTGCAGATGAACAATGACTTCCGTCTTAAATGGAACATCAGGTGAACGCAATATCTTACTCACGCATTAACCTCTCCAATGTTCCGCTGCGCAACAGCAGCATCCTTCAGCATTCCTAACGACGCGTAAATCGACATCTCTTCCTCGTGTTCTTCCATGGCAGCTTCCAAATCATTCTGCTTTCGATACAGATGTCCCAAAAGATTACAACATTCAGCAACCTCAACGCAACTTCTTTGATCCTTCCTACGGCGTGCGCTTTCCTTACTCCTGCGCAGCGATGAAATTTCTTTATTCCACCGTGACGACATATTTCCTTGACTAAGGAACCAAAATACCCCTAGAAATATAAACGTTTTTTCGCTTTAAAAAATGATCAAAAAAATGTATAAATCACAGAAGACAGAGAAACTGTTTAATAACTCTGAATGATTTGACATCTTATACAGAAGCCACTGTTCCCCGCCAGCAATCACAATATCGAAATTTTGGTATGAAGGGCAAAAACGAAATCTCCTTGTGCCCGGAAAGTCCAACATATATCACAACGTACACTGCGAAAAACGAAAGTACAACACAAACTTCAGGTTTGTCAAAAGTGGTCAGTTATGCTTCACCAACAGGTGTGATAGCTTGCTCCTGGTCAGCAAGGTCATCAGTATTCGTTACAACAGGCGGCGCATCATCTCCTCCAATTACAATTTCATCCGGATCAGGAGCTCGTGGAAGAAATTCTTCATTAGGGAACATTCTCTGGAAGATTTCCTTTGCCTGAAAATCTCAAAAGTCTCATCAAGACTGCACAAGGGTAAAGATCACGCATATAATACCTTGACGGCATGTTCTTCAAAATCATAGGAATCTCCCGGGCCAGGGAGTACAAAAATGTTGGCATTTTCCGTCAACGGAAACGTGAAGTCATCCACAGCAAAATGAAGGCTCCAAAGGATGCGGGGACAATTCGAACGACGATCATCAACAACTTCACCATTGTAAACGAAGAATTCTTCCACGATTGATTTCATATCTTCCTTTGGATCCTCAGCCAGCAAACATGTTAAGTGAACAATGTCTATTGAAAGAAAAGAGAGATAGTGATCACCGAAAGCAGGTTCATGTTGAATTCAACTTACACAAGCCTTCCGGTGTAGCATTTGAACCTGGTCCCAGTTCCAACAAAGTGACTGATGCACGAGTTCCTGATCCAGGTATGCGCATGAGCGTCACTTCCGGAGTGACGGATGTTTTGATGGATCTAGCAAATTTACAGTTGAAAAGTCCAACCCAGAAATGATATTTCCGCAAATGGAAAATAATACCTATCAGTGAGCAGCACGAGTCGAGAGACAGATCTTTTGACTCCACGGGATCTCCATTTGCATGGCACATAACTTGAACAAAGGATGACTTTTTGACACTCAATGCGAGTATCCCTTGAGATCACAGCTTGCACCACATGATTTTCATCTTTGCTGAGCTCAATGCCTTCTACAGCCCGCTGAAGAAAATATGTTCCACCGAAAACTGCACACAATCTATAGCCATCGCCAGTTTTTCAAAGATTTCAGTCTGAGTTTTCCACACGAAGTATTCAAGAACAGACCTTGAGAAAGCTTGCGGAATCTCACCACTTCCATACATTGGCCATAAAAATGGGGAATTTCCAAAACGTCCCAGACTATTGATGAACTTCTGAACTGAAGAAATACCCTGCTCGGCGGGGCATTCCGGATCAACCATGGCAATGGAGTGAATCACGAAATGAAGCAAATTATCCGTCAGCGAATGGCTTCGAAGGAAATCGATGAAACTTTTTCCTTCGAATTCTGAAAAGAATCGAATGTCGTGAACGTTGGGTTAAAAAAAATATAATTGCACGCTACTTACCTCGGCGGTAATCCGGATTTTTTTGCGCTTCTGACACAAAATGCATCAACTTCATCAACATACGCTTCTCTATGACAGATACTCCACGAGAGGCAAATACATCCGCACGAGAACATGGCACGACAACTAGATCTCCGTCCTTCTTCGTCAGGATCCGCGTGATACATTTGAATTCCAGGTATCGACTAACATTCGAATGGATCAGCATTTCTACCAGACTGCCACTTGAGTAAACCACCTTCCAAGGATGAACGGCATTTGTATCAATTGGTGAACTCCATGCGACAATTTAAATTTTTTAAATTTCACAATTGAAACAAAATGCCATTACAAATAAGCGTACATTATGAATAATGTTCAGATAATGTTCCTGTCATCACTAAAAAAAAGTGGAAAAATGTTTCAAGTGCATCATATCAAGCCCCATTGCGACTACAAAACTTGATAAAGGTAACATCAACCCATGCTTACGCAATCGCCTGTCCAAATATTTATAATTTCACGGGGCTGACAGCACCTGTGATCCTTCTGCCAATGCCAGAAAATTTTTTTTTAACAAATTTATAAATAAAACTTCAGCCTGGCGTATTGCTTGATGTTGAAGCAAACCGATCTCATTCTCCACTTTCGCCGGCTTAAGGGGATCATCTTTGTCGTCTTTATAAAATCAATCAAGGGGCCAACAAGAGCTGCATTACAGTCACCTTCGGTGCTAGTTCTACGTTGAATCGTCTCCCCTGCTCTTCGATCCTTCTTTTGCTCCAGGCAGTAGTTCGTGGCGCTGCTGAATGGTTTGCTGCCTCAGCAACGGGGACGTCGCCTTCAGGATTGGCGTCCGCTCGAACATCATCTTCCGGTCTATCGGCATTATCACCACCACATTCCACTTCAATGTCATGTCTGAAGAAATTATCACTGTAGACGAGAATATTGCTTGGAAATATAAGCAACCTTACGGGATAAAATATTCTTGCTCAACGTGATGAAAAATAGGACGAAAAGAAACTTTCAGCACATCATCATTTTCAGGATGATCTTGCCGGACGATTTCTTCCTTCCTGGTGACAACTTGTAACCATTCTTGCAAGCTCGCCCAGTTGAAAGTTGCCCACGAATCACCATAGTACGTATTTCTGGACGAAAAAAGCATAGATCAAGACCGATGCTTAGCTCAACACGAAAACGTACCGATCAAGATGAAGAACCTGTTTTCCAATCCTACTGCAGGCTGCTGCCGCAATTGATTCGGAAAACCCTGCGGAAAAAATCAAAAAAATTTTGATCCTAACTTATTTGCATGGAATGTTTCATACCTGTTCCGACGATGACAACATCGAACGATGTTTGCAGATCATCCATTGCACATTAGCACAGCATAAAAATTCGATCAACACAGAAGCCCAGCGCGTCCGATGTCAACACCGATATTTCTGGACGAAATGAACATAAGTTTGAAGCAGGAAACTGGGCAGAAACCTTCGGGTAATTTGCACAGTAAAACAATATTCACAGGTTCCATGTTTGCTCTATACGTATCACGCTCATAAATTCGTTCACGATCGCGTCGAGGCTTTCCCGAATAAGTTCCCAACAACCGAAATTCAATGCACGTCAAATAATATTCAACAATACTTTTTGGTTTTCCATACAATGGAAGTAGTTGCCGTCGTTCCTGACGTTTTCTTGATTACGTCTTGATGCATGTAAATTTCCATTACATGGTTATCAAAAACCGACCTTTTGCACATAAAAACAATGACGTCGGGATGTTCACGCATCCGACTCCCACGTCCTAAAAGGAAACACGACAAATCAGAATGTAAGGAAGACTAAATCAAAAGTCTCTGAATTGCACTTTCGGTGCGTCTTCCTGATACCAAAGTTTCCCTTGAGACAGGCGCGGAAGATGAGCAGCAACGGCTGATGCATTTGACTCTAGACCCTTTTTTACCGTATGACGTTGAGAGGGACAGTCAGATTGCGGTCCAAACGACGTAACAAACGCTTTCCTAGAGCATCCGGAACTTCGAGCCAGGTATATTTGTCAATCGGATGAGCTTCTTCTAGGGCGCAGCGGATGGATACAAGCAATGTCAGACACAATCCATCCACGGCATCAGCATTGTCTACGTCTCCGGGTTGATGTTCCAAGGTAAGAACACCATGAGGCTTGTGTGGCGGTAATGTTGATCCAAAGATTTCCTGAAAACAGCCATCGTTCCGAATGGATCAGAACTACAACAAAAACCAACGGGGCTCGAATTTCAAAATTAAATCTGACAGAAGCACAGAACCAATCGGTCCGGAATAATTCAGCAAGAATTAACATGGCAGACACATCAAAAGGGAATCTCAAGCTCACAGGTGAAAATGACTAGCTTTCATGTTCACTTCTGCTCAGTGATGTAGTACTTACGGTCATGTACTTCTTCAAGGTCGCATGCAGACTTCGAGTTGGATTGATTTCGCAGGCGGGAATGTGAGCTTCAGTTTTTTCCGACACAAGAACGTGAACTTTGTTCCTGAAAATTTAAGAAGCGTAACAAAGATGATCTGACGCTCAATACGCGGACAACTCACGTCGACTTTTTCCTAACAATGCACAAAATTCGCAAGAGATTCATAGTGTGCATTTTTGCAATCGGTAAAAGATCAGGATGCCATGCCGCTGCGGAATTCGTATGATGCTCCCGAACTTTATCCACACAAACGGTCATATCACCGGAACGCAAACTTAATTCGCCAAGGTCTTTCACGAATTTGGCTTGGAGTGATTCGGAATCAGCTTTCGCTGGTACCTTCAGTTCTCCTCCTGAAAAGTTTTTTTTTTCTCGTAAAATACTTATCACGATTGAATTACTGAAGTCACCTGTGACTTTTCCAGTCAAGGCAAATCGAAACCAGGAACCGGCGGCACATTCGATCATCAGAAGCGTCGTTGGATCAAAAGTAAGTCCAGTTTCTTCATTAACTTCACGCTTAACAGCATCCTGTTTTTAAAAAAAAGAATTACGGGCAAAATTGACCGAATTTATTGTTCGCCTTGAATACATACAACAATAGATTCTCCGGGTTCCATACGACCAGCAGGCAGATACCATTGACCGGCACAGCGACTTTTGGCTTCTTGCATCATTAGAATGTCGCCGTCATCATTTATCAATGTCGCCATAACGATATACACAACAGATTTCTTGAGAACAGGTTTGAAAGAGTCGGGAACCGTAGAGCTAATCCCACGAGATGCTGGAAAACACCAACATTTTCTTTCTTCATATTTAGAGATAGCAAGGCTCGGGCGATATAAACCGCAGTCAGGCTGGATAACAATAGATTATATTGTAGTAACTTACCCAAGATACTGTTCTGGTCGTGTAGACTAAAATCACAGAATTCCTTGCTTTCTTCGACAGCTTGCCCATCGAGAAGACGTACCACATTCTCTGCGACGCTCTCCATTATACGAACTATGCATCGACAGGATGAGAATGACGGGAAAGGGGGGAATATAATTTGCTATCACTACAAGGAACAGGGGAAAATCTGCGACAGAAACGTTGGGTAAATTAATCACGGGAACGAATAAACTTATTCCAAAATTTCAACCACGAACGCGGGAGCCCTTCCATAATTTAAAATCCACAAAACTCGTGAACTTAGCCTCCAAGTCGTTTCCCGTACGCAACACTGAGGCAAAGATCACTGAACTCGAGCGTCCAAGCATCGGCTGACTCCTCCTCATCAAGAAACTTCTTACCGCGGCGGAATAAGCCGGTACACTAAGAAGTTGGTAACGCTGAGCGCAGGGGAGTGATCCAGCGTCGCCAACATGTTCACCTGAATTCATGTCATGCAGTTTCAATATGGCCAGAAATATCATTTTTGAAACTCAATATCATACCGCAGTTCTCGAAAAACGATTTTTTTTAATCATAAGTCGAGACCAACAGACCCTTGCATTCTGTGACAGCTAAAAATAATATATTTCAGTTACTGTACGGTAGTGTACGCTATCAAGTACAGTATATGTAATATTTAGGCATGTCCTTTTTTAAAGCCATCACTTTTTTTTACTAAATATCAAGGGACCATGAGTGAATAAGTTACTTCTGAACAAATGTAAGATACGCAAGCTTGGTTCCACTAGTGACTAGGAAACATAAAGACCGTATTTTCTTCAGAAAACGGCAGTTCTGAAATTTTTTGTACTGTATACTATACTTCTTGCAAACTCACGCTGTGATGCTAATAACGCAATTTCAATGTACAATAAAATGTAGTTTATGATTATATTGTCATATACCATATATTCTTTTTGTACCGTACAGCAGTTTTTCAAGGAAGAATGGATTTGGGATATACTTTACTACTGCTATTACTGTACTGCATAAACGCACATAATTTCGCAAGTTTTTTTTACTTACAAGACACACCATCTCTTTTCTCTTCAAAACTCAGTTGGTATGCTTGTGCTGTAGAAGTGTAAATACCAAGTATGTAATTGTATCCCGTCCTCAATCAGAATCGCTGAAAAACGGATATTTTTGAATGAAGCAGTAAAAGACAAATTCGCAAAATTTAGTTGCTATCAAATGATAAAAATTAAAAATGAGCTCAAATTTGGATAATTACCCCTCGTCCATCCTACATCATCCCTTACGTAGTCTTTCCTTGAAAAAAAAAATTCTAATGTGCTTCAGAAAGACATAATTGTTCAGGTAGTCTATCATGCATACCTTTGCATTTTAAAATTTCACATCGTTCAGTCTCGAATGAAGAGGAATATACAGTGTACATTTCAACATGTGTCCCTCAAATTAAATTTTACGCACAATTAGTTGAGCGAGGCAGGCCAGATATGATGCGCTGATGAATGGAGGTGCATCATGAACAGTACAGTAATTCATTCATTGATACAAATCAAGTACCACATGGAAAAGTCCAAGATTTCGAGTTTTCACATTTTGGGAAATAATTCCATCGAATTTGACTTCCCTTCCAAGTTCTTCAGGATTCCCCAATTATCTTCAACTTTTTTCGCCACCAGATTTTTCGGTATCACCCCAGCAGCAAACCCCATAAGTGGTCCCCTGGAAACTTTAGAAAAAACTGTAAATGAATGTGATGTGAGTAAAGCATGAATGTACTGTACTGTTCTAATGGCTCCCCCGTATACAGTACCGCATACTTCTCTTCAATACTTTTTCAACTACCATGTGCTGCTTCAGAAAAGCTCAACAGAACCACACAATTCTTCATGTGTGCGAACAGACCATACATTTTTTTTTACAATTTAGCTGTTTCTCGAACACCACATCCTTGAAATGTTTCCCTGGAACAGGCAAAGAATAAATGTAGGCAATAAAGTTCAAAGGTCCAGGGTGTTCACGCAACTCAACATCCTCAACAATCTTTCATGCCACCATGACAATATCACTGCTTAATAACTTCCTGATATACAGAAATCGAATTTTCGTCATGACAGATTCAGAAACGAATGGAACAAGCAGCCTGAACTCCCCGACATTTGTTGCAGATTATTCCCTCACATAATGATGGGAAAACTATGGCCTGCACAAGTTATACGTTTTGTTTTTATTTTCCGAATTTCTCAGAATAAATTGATCAACCACGTGCAATGATAGCAAACATTTGGTCAAGCCTAGTTGCAATTTTCCCACAGTAATACAGTATTTTGAAACGCGGCCACAGCAAATGAGTAGCAGAAAGATCCGCGTAACCCATCACTAGAAATTAGGTTTGAATTTCTTCACTTCCATCACAACATGGTGAACATTAAGAAGTTCTCCGCGGCTTTGAATGTGCTTGAAAGCCGGCACGGCGATGACTCTTTGTAGTCGATGGTAGTATCGAACAAAGTGGGCGAGGATTCCCTGAAGGATATTGTGACCATTCTTGAAATTGGGGAAGGTAGTGCGCACTTCCATTTCGATATCGTCAAGAGCTTTCTTCCAGCCAGCGTTGAAAGTTCGGATCAGTTGCAGGGCTTTTTCTGCAGGAACGAATCCCACGAAAAAATTTGCAAAATGTTGAAGCACTCGAATAAGCATCGACTTACTCTCTTCTTGATCCAGCAATCGTTCCTCTCCCTTTTCGATCAGACGCTCACCATCTTTAATGAACTGTATGAGTCCACCAAAATGAGGACTTAAAACTTGTTCGATGTACTCGGCAATCATGGAATTGAGTTGCTGCTTGAAAACTTCGCAATCTTTCGAATCTTCTCTCGTCTTTTCCTATCCAGCGAAGATTAATCATTGGCACTTACAGTATAAAAATTGGTTCAAGATAAAAATCCCTTACAGCAGCAACCCCCAGCATCATGTCATAGTTGTTGATGAGGAACACAAGCTGCTTTTTGCGACTATGAAAATGAGCAGCCATTCGAAGAAGCAAGGAATCCATCTCATGCTGCAAAGCAAGAAGTAAGCCGTCCATTTGCGAGGAATCCGTTGGAAAGCTTTCGTTGATGAAGTTCATCCCAGAACTAAATTCAGCGTATCTTCGAGGAATCTTGAAAAGAAAAAAAGGACTTAACACTGCTTCTCAAACAAAACGCATCAATGACGCGGGCAGGATATTTACTCACGTAATGAGGATGCAAGTCAAACTCTCCCAATTTTCCAACGTCACAATCTTTGATGCTCTGAATATTCAACTGCAACACGTATTCAAGTCTGAAGACAAGTTCAAGAAAACCCATCATACAAAATCGAAGTCGGATTTAACTTCACAGTGAATATTAAAAGAGGCACTCTGAAACCTTTCGAATCACACACCTTGGCCATAAGAGTTTAAGTAAGGTGTCCCAATACGCATCCAACGCAGGCACAGCTCGCTTATGGCAAACAAGTCTGTACCGATGAATTAAATGAACACAAAGAAAAAGTGCGATGGTATCCCAGCAGTCCGCGGTCCACTGTTCCAATTGTTTCTTTCGAGGGGAAAGAAAAAAAACAGTTAAAAACAGTTTTTTTCACGAATCTTCGTAAAAATTTACCGCGAAGATACCCAAAGTCTTGCTCAGGACCACCGTGAACAAATCTAATGCCATAGCCTCTTGAACAGAAAAAAACTCCGTCAAGAAAATGTATTCCCGACACCCGTTGTCGACCAACGCATAAAGCTCGCTTCGGAATAGTGCCTCAAAAGGGTACTTCACGAGGAGAAGCAAAAAATAGAAGGAAATTAGTCCGGAACGTTAAATACTGTACAACAAAATTACCTTGGATTCCTGTTTTTGCGCTGCATGGGGAACGATAACTGGAGCTTCAAGATCTGTCGTCAACACATCACCACGTTTTCCAACACTGAACATGGTTGACTTATTCCTCATTTGGGGTCTGCTTCCACTGAAGAGTCCTCCGGAAGATCGGATTGATTCGGTTGTACCCAGCATGTCTTCTCTAGAGGCCGTTTCATCGGTCTTTAAATAAAATCAAACCCATCGAGCTTCATTGCGCACTACATCACCTTTGGAATAAAGTTCAGCTTACCAGAAGTTTCATTATTCTGGATGCATACGCTTTGAAGTAAGAATAATAAACTTTGCTCAGAGTTTCCACATATTCATCCCTTATCTCTCGGGCGATTTCTTTTTCGTGAGCCATCAAGAATTGAAACAAATATCTGAAAAAAAAAGTACTGTGAGCAGAGAGAAACCGCCGAATTTGACGTAGTTACTCACTTGTGTTTCAGGAGTGAGTTCTGCGGAACCTGATAATTTGTCATGGGCTTCCGCAGTTGATAAATTTTCGAAAGCATGAATTCCCGAATCTTCGTCACTGCTTTCATTTTCAACTTCGTCAGGATTTCAACAACATCCATCACCGCACGCGATTCTAGAATATTTCAAGAGTTCAGAATATGGGCTGATAGCGAAAAAGGATTGAAGGCTGACCTTGAAAGCTATGCTCCTGAACGAAAACTATTTTCTGGTCCAATTGCTGAAGGTTCTCCGCGAATTCAGGTTCTACGACTGGAGTTTCCAGTATATGCCTGAAAAAATATGTAGCATCATAAATGCCAAGATTCATATCCATCATAAAAATGAGGACACCAACGCAATTATTGTGTCAGGAACAACAAGCTCGTCAATGAACTGCGAAAGAAGACCACGAACGGCTTGTTGATTTCGCAACTTGTGGTTCATCTGCAATGATCTCTTTTGTAAATCAAGTATTTCCGAAGATATGTTTCTCAAATCTTCTTGGAACGCTTCCATCATCTTCTCCATATTCTAAAAACGACAGACGAAATTAAAATGTTATAAAAAAATGTCGGAATTAAAATGTTTTCCTTTAATTACCGCTAAGATATTGTCACAGTCAGTGAGGTTTGAATGGAGTTTCAGGACATTTTCATGTTGTCCCAAGTAATCTTGAATCACATCACTTTCCACTTGCTTCAACTCCTTGCCAACCATCTCGGAATACTTCCGGAGATCCAGGCCTCGATGCACTGCTTCATGCAGAGCTTCGATCGTACCTTCCACGGAAGCTGCAGAATCCATCATGTTTAACCAATTTTTGCGAATTTAATCCATCTGGAACTTGAAAACATGGATAGTGAAAAGCATTGATCAAAGATTCGAATACTGTAAAATGAAACGGAAAAATAAGAAATTCTCATCCGTAATTCATTGATATTTATAGACAGACGTAATCCTTCGGTTGACCAAAAACAAATACGTACTAGAACCAGGTAACGCGACCAGGATATTCAATTAAAGGCGTTAATAGGATTTTTCAGTTCCAGTCCCAATGTCCCATTGAAACTAATTCCTGTTCTCTGAATCTTCATCTGGCTCGCTAATAAAAATAGAACTGATCAGACCTGCTGCAACTTTGTTTCCATGCTAAAAATGTCATCAAACGCAGGGAGCAAAAACCCGTGGACAAATATTGATCACAGGGCTCACATAGGATCAATTACGAAGATTTCAACTAATTAAAACAACTCTGTATCCCTTGGGCAGAAAGAAAACAAAATAAAATCGGGATTCGTGCTTTTTAAAAATGAGTAGACGAATGAGAACAAGAACAATCCCTTGAATGGACGGCTAACCGATATGGGATGAAAAGCGCCATAAAACTCCCCTCAAAACAATTTCTCGGATCATTCATTATTCAAGATAGCAAAGCTTTCCTTCTCCATCCACCAACTAGAATAAAATATTTTTCCGCGGATCCACGCACACACAGCGAAAAAAAAATTAATCCAGACGTAATCTCAATGGCGATAACGTCGCTCACGCAAATTCACGTCTTTTGCTCATAACAGATCCACGTCTCATGGCAGCTTCTTCCAAGCATTTTCCCCATCATTTATCAAAACCGCAAAACTCTGAAATCATTTGTGTAGGCACCAAAGCATGGCTTCGAAGTTAATACAGTATTTACACGCCGTCTTTCATACCGTTCGCGGGTTATGCACGGAGAAATTTTCATCACGAATTAAATCACGGCAAATTTTAAAATAAATCAACTCAGACCGGGAGAGAAGACGAAGAAAAAACGTTTTCAAAAATATGAAACAAAGATGACAGGCAACGATGCGAATTTGTCCAATTCTGTCGTAGACGTTCTACCTTTCCAGTAAATCACGTTAAAAATCCCGAACTGCTTCTTCACTTGCTCTTCAAGAAAATAACTTTTCATTGCTGTATATATCCCAAACTCGAAGTCAGCCACGAAAGAAAAACTTGGATCATAGCACTTCCTCGCGAAATAGTTCGTAATATACTAACATGAAAAAATTCAGGCTTCAATAACAAAACTGCACAAACATGGCACGCGCTGGTAAATCCATGTTGTTCATTTATAATTTTTAATACCTAGTCAATTCGTTGTTCATTGTGGGTGTCGACATTGACATCATTGACACGATGCAAATCATTCCCATCTTTGACGTCACTCTTCCCTTGAATCAAGGTTTTCACTCTTGGACACAAACCGAAGAGATTTCGTGGCACGTAACCTTCGCGTCCGTCTAATCGTGACCACCACCACTCCCGCTCGAAATCATCACCCTTCCGCACGACAATTATTCTGTCCCCATCATCAAAACTCAACTCATCTTCGTGTGATCCATCGTAGTTAAATAAGGCATAAACAACGCCATTATTCCAGATTCCGAGCTTCTCCTGCACATTGTACAAATATTCCGAACAGCTATCGTAGCCGTCCTCATCTTCCTCGCATTTCTGTGCTGCTGTCTCAGAATCTGATACAGTAGTGGCAAACACGCATGCACCTTTTTCCACCAAATACTGAACCATTGGCAGATTGTTACACGACGCAGCACAGTGCAAAGGAGTCCAGCCGTCTGAATCCTGGGCATTTACGTCGCAACCGAATTCTACGAGGAATTTCACGATTTCTAAATGTCCTGCACAAACTGCGTTGTGTAGCGCGGTGATTCCTTCATCGTTTGAAGCTGCAGCAGCTGCAGGAGCCTGAGTGGCACATTTTTTCACTAGCTCCACTTCACCTTCAAGGGCTGCATCCAGCAAAAGGGCCAAGGGGTCGAAACTAACACGACGTTGCAGTTTGGAACTTCCATCAGGATTCTTCAGCGCACTTCGGGTCTTGTCTTCCCGAACTTGCAAGTTTCCTTCCTCATCCACGAAAAATTCCTCTGGAAAATTTGCTCTGGCATCATCGGTAGTATCACTCATGTTATTGTTTGTATCCTGCGATGCGCTCGGAATAAGATCGGAAGGTGGCAAGGCATTCTCCGGAAACATGGCCTCGGGAGGCATTTCGATCCTCCGATTTATGCTGATTTTGACTGAAGTCGGGGGAGCAACGTCGAACGAATTCTTGGAGTCTTCCTGTGAAGTGGGCTGTACTGAGAGTTCGCTCAAGCCAGAATTCGAGGTTGAAGTTATCTCCATAACAGATGGACCTTTAGCCTCCTCAAACTTCATCAAATCTTCCGATTTTGACTTAAGGATTGTAACAGCATCTTCAACACTATCTTTCGCCGGAGACAAGCGGGGTGGAATCAAAATAGGTTTCGGGGGAAGATACGGGCGCTGATCATCATTCTCATGCGAACCGTCCTCTGGAGAGTAGACCGACGTGTACGTACGCGAAGTGGAAAGGATCACTGACGCCGATGAAGGCTTTGGAGGAGGAATCGGAGCGACTTTTCCATCTGACCCCTGCCCCTTCGGTTTTAACGCAGATACACTTTGGGTGGCCATGGGGGGGAACTTCGTGTTGTATGGCAAAGTCTGGTACTTCGGATCACCCTTATTCAACAGAAATTCGGCCCGTCGATCATCATCCGGAGCAGTTAAATCATCACGTACATTATACGGCTCCACCGCAGCTATCTTCGCCGGACGTTTTGCTTGTGAAAGTTGATGAGCGAGACCATCGTTGAAAACGCGCCTCTTGTGCAAGCGTTGCTGCAATTCAGCAATTCTCCGATCCACTCTGTTCATTTCTTCTTGCTTCTGAGACAATAGAGACCTCTGATGGGCAACTCGAGACGCCTGTGAAGACGTTACTTGCTGGCGATACATGAGTTCTCGCCTCAAAGCTTCCAGCTGAATTGAGTGCGTGGAGTCTTCCCGACCACCTTTTTCTTGCCGTTGTCTACGGAGCAATCGTAATTCCTCGAGCTGTTTCGTTAGTTCATCCACACGACTGACCGCCACACTCAATTCCTTCTCTTTCTCGTTGAAGAGGATTCGTATTGACTCAAGATCCGATGTCAAAATGGCATTGCTAGCTTTTGTTTGATCGACTTGCCCACGTAGCATACGAAGACGGCGCAACTTAACCTCCTGCTGTTCAATTTTCTGTCTCAAAGCCATCAACCGTCCAGGTTCACCGTTCATTGAATAATGCTGACGTTGACCATTTTGTAAAGATCCTCCGTTATCTTGCTGCTTCCGAAGCATCTTAAGCCGATTTTCCTTCGCAATGAGAAGCTGTGCTTGGGCTCTGATCTGATCTTGTTGACGGGAAGCTAGTGATTCGAGCTGTTGCAGTGTCATATTATGAACTGACTCAAACTCGTCCTTCCCTGAATCAAAAGCCTTTGTGTTCCTCATCGTTGGTTTCCGTCAATGCAGCGATGCACACCACTTTTTACAAAACGTTTAACGGAGATGGGCAGTCAGTACACTACCAAGTGTTGTCATCAGATATCCAGAATGGGTAGACCTGCAGGCAGAATCGAGGATTCATCATATTAAAACCTGTTTCTCACATTCTCACGAAATATCTTGAAAAACCTCTCATTTGGAGACTTACCCATCCCAGCGAAAAATAAAGAAAGTCGCTTTCCAGCTGTAGCGTGTCGGGAATCAAAAGACCTTAGTAATTTGCTGACACATCTGCGATGAAAATACAATTTCATGAGACACTAAAGAATCAACAAGATGCAATAACCAACGACCCACCATCGAGCGTAACTGCGAAGAAACCGTTAAATCTCTGCTTGCGTTTTCAATATGTAGTCTGCCATCCGTCGTCTACAGAAAACCATTCACAAACGGAACGTCTACGGGCAACAAAATATATATTTCAATGAACAAGTGTAAACTTTTCTAGTGCATACGTGAATACACATATGTTTCAGATCTTCCCAGTACAGTTTTGTACACAAAAAGTTTCGCTGTACAAAAATATGAACTGCATAAATCCTTCCACGAACGAATCGCACTCAATACAATACGTACGAACACGCGTAATCGATCACGGACTTCAGCGCATCTACAGAGATTTCGTTCACCAATGTAAGATAAGTGACACAATATTTGATCGAAATCGGGAATATGCCGAATCCTCGAAGGTATGTTCCGCGATACTCTTTTCCATGGAGGCATTTCCGCCGTGGACACATTGCGCGATCATTCCTTCCGCGGAATTCCGTGAAAGTTGATTTCCACCGTTATTTTTAAAGCGGCATTTACTTCCACAGAAAATGTATTTAATTCCCACGGAAAACCATTTTAGGGGAGCCATGCATAGCTGATAGCCTAAAATATGTGTAAATTTGAAAATGGGGAGTTATTTAGAATTTTAGATGTCCAGTACAGTATATAATAGAATGAAAAAACGTTTTTTCAATAACAAAAAGTTTTTCGTGTGAAATTTTTAGCGTGTCATTCCCATATCCCTGTGCTTGTATCCATCCTCAACGGCGAAGCTGTGCTGCAGAGCTCTTCCTGAAATAATACTTGCTTTACGATCCACTTATTTCAAGCTTTATTAGTTTTCTATGAACCCCTTGCAGAAGGCAAAAAGCAAATGATGCCTGGAAAAATGATCCCAATAATAATGCAACTATGATTCTCTGCTTTGTAGTATAAATCAACTGAAATTCTGCTTCGAAAATCGCACGGAAGGGACCACTGCGTGTGTTCACCGCGGAACTTCACTCCGCGGACGTGGATCGCTCCCGAGAGAGAGAGGTGGCAATCCTGAATCCCAGGCGCGCCGCCATGACATTCGACACTAATGACATCTAAGAACTTCCAAATGAATGATTATCATTATGACATCTACTGAATAGAAATCAAAGCACTTCTCACCA